TTTTTGTCTTTAAGATTTGTCATACAATTTAACAATTATTCATTACTACACTTCGTTTCATTTTCTTTTCACAAAATTCATTGAATTGAAATCCTTAAAGGATTTCCGTTTCTTTTTTCTCGTCATTCTTGCTTGGTGAAGTGGTGGTTGTGGTGAGGAGTAGAGGGTCAACAATTTGATTTATTGCAACATTTATTTTTTTATTTATTTATTTTTTCTAAAACAAAATAATAAAATTTTCTATTTTAAGGTACACTGAAAAATTGTCTTCTGTTGTTGTGGTATTGTTGTTAATAATGTTGCCAATTTTGGTTGAATTTGATTCTTTGTGTTTTGCATTATTAGTTTAACAATTAAAATTGATTTAAATAAATTACTGAAAAAATTCTATGAAAGAATTTAGTTTATTATTATTAACAATTTGTCTCATAATTTTTGTGGAAATATAAAACAAGTATTTTGATTTTTTTATTATTTTTCAATAGTATTATTTTTTTAAAACATTGTTATTTTTGTTTTATATTTGTGCTCGATTTTCCAAAAAGTGCCTTGTGTTGAGAGGTTCATGTTATGAAACTTTAAAATTTATTTTAAATCTTTATTTTTTTTCTTTTGTTGAGAGAGAGGGGGTTTTTCAATCCTTGAGCAAATTTCTGTTGTTTTCTTAACAGCTGTTGTTTCTGTGTGTAGAGGGAGGAGGAGGATGTTGGTTTTCTTATTATAACGTTTAATAAAATTGATCAATTTGTTCTTCTTTTTATAATTTTTTCTAGTTATTTTTAATAACAAATGTTTGTGTCGGTGAAAACTTAATGAGTCGTAATAATTGTTAGTATTAAAAAAAAAATAAAACACTAATTTTTGATGTACGATTTTGGTTAGAAAAATGCTAATAGGCAATTCAATAGAATTCTGTTCTTATTTGAAATCACTATGAGATTTAAAGACATTTTAAATTCAATTTCTTTTCTTTTGTTTGGTAACATTTTTCTAAACAAAATCAAGTTCACCCCATAGTTTTTTTTATATATTTATTTCTTTCTTTTATCATGTCATTTACTATATTTCAGTTCTTAATTCTTAACGTTTATTTTAGAATATTTGATGTTGGAGTTGGTTGTAGTCCATTTTTTTATTTTCATTCTGTATTAATTTTTTTAAAATTGTTTTTAATAAATTTTGGCTTATTAGGATAAAAAAGAATTCCACCTGGTTTATGTTGTTTTTGTATTTTAATTAATTTAATGTCTTATTTATTGACGGGGCACCCACATGCACGCATATTATTTTCTATAGTCAGGGTGTTCAAAAGTATTGCATCTTCCGACTCGCACTTGCACAGTGCATTTGACTCTCTGTAAGGTGTGCATGCATCTCTGACCACTTACAATGTCAAAGGTTTCGGTTTATATTTTTTCAGTATGGAAAGATAATAAATGTTTTCAACAAATACAAAATCTCTTTAATGGCTCCATTCGAAAATTCGATTGTTTTATTAGATTACGGCTATGTCAAGGGTAAGTCCTACACAGTAAAGAATTTGAAGGGTGCACCAATGCCCTTGTCAGAGATGGCGAAAGAAGACAGGATTGCTACTCTTCACCAAGAAAAGTCAAATTCTTATTTATCAGATTGTTTAGAACCTGATTAACGTACCTTACACTTTGGGCACGCAAAGGTCCTTTACATGAATACTAGGTTCCTAGTCCTTTACTATAAGTAGATTTGAGAATTAAATTTTAATAGGGAATACAATATATACGTACTACTCTGACCCTCTTAGTTATTACGATGACAGAATCCGCACCTACTTCGAATAAGCAGGAAATAGTGGAATAGTGAAGAACCTGATAGGAGAACCCTAAAATCTATCTGGCCGGTGATTTCCAATCATTGATTTCTAGAGGTAACAAAGAAATGAAACTGACTGTTGGAATCATAACATGTCATAGTGATGTGAAATATTGCAGTCTATGCGAGATTGAAAGAGACACGAGAAACGAGCGAACGTCCAGATTTTTTTGATCTAAAAAATGCACCCCTAGATCAAGAAGCCTACCAAGCAGGTTTGAATGGTATTCACACGGACACAGTCGCTCAGGCAGTAGAGCAATATCGTGTAAATATCATAATCGAAGACCACCCCAATGCATCGCAGCAGAGGAGAAGCAGCTGCCAAGACAAACACAAGTAGTCTTGGCTCAACTAAGATCAGGAGGTATAGGAAGCAGAACCAGTTAATGGATGACCCACCGGATGTATTCTGTTCTGCAGAACCAGGTAATGAATGACCCACCGGATGTATTCTGTTCTGCAGAACCAAGTAATGAATGACCCACCGGATGTATTCTGTTGCTAAAACTTAAGTTTGTCTTTTGTCTGCAGGCAGGTAATGTTCGAAGATGGGATATATCGGTCCACGTTTAGGCATAGCTACCATATTAGGGTACCCCCCAATTTTCGGTATTTTGGAGTTCTTGAGCGCGTTTTTCAACCGAATTCGCTGAAATTTGGTACATTGTACCACAAAAAATTATAAATGTAGGTCCACATTTTCTGGAAAATTAGGAGGTACCGTTATAGGGGGACCTCCTAATTTTCAGTATTTTAGGGGGTTTAATCGTATTTTTCCAGCGAATTGGCTGTAATTTAGTATTTTGAGTTCATAATAGGTACAACATCTTGCCACAAAAAATTATGAATATAGGACCCTTTTTCGGGTAGCCCCCATATAAGGGTACCCCTAATTTTCGGTATTTTGGGGTTCTTGAGTGCGTTTTCAACCGAATTTGCTGCAATTTGGTATTTTTTAATCGTATATGCTAACAAATCTACCCACTAAAAATTATTAATATTCGCCCCCTGTTTGAGGCAGTCCCCCTATATTTAAAAGGTTATAGGCCTATCCCCTGCGTTGGACGTACCAGATCTAAAGAAACATGGGGTCTAGAACTAATATTTCGATGAGGCACATTTTCACTGTATCAAAGTGTATACACAGCCATAAGCTGAATTTGGTGTACATTATGATTTACATAATCGGTTTGTAAAAATGTCGGTATAGGTCCACTTTTTGTTATGTTCCCTATATTTTCATTTCAAGTATCTGTCAATATATCTGTGGTGGAGGGCATCCAATGATCGGCCCGGTCTTGCACACAATTTGTGGTCGTATACATTGAGAGAGACTATGGAGAACTAGCATAACACTACCCTAAAAGCTTTCATCGACATATAGTAAAATTTTTAGACAACAAATACTTAATTTTTAATCATATAGACCAAATACGGATACGAGTTTTCTAATGGCTTAGTACCGAATATGATTTTCTTGGAATCATACTCGGTACTGACCAAATCAAGGTTTTTTTCTTACCACATACCCTCAATTTATTTGGGCTTTGAGATTTGGTATTTGTTTAAAACGATATTTCCAAAATGCAATATTATTTTATTTTATATATACTTTTTAAATATTTCTATTTTTAGATTTCATAGATTATATAGACAAATTTAACCAATTTCATTTTTATAGTTATAATAATAATTTTATTATAATATTTAAAATTTTATTGAATTCTATTTGTATGGATGCATTTGTTTTTCGTTGATACATTTTTTTAAAATGGCTATCAATGAAACAATGCACTTCCTTTTGTTCAGATCTTAAACTATGACTTTTTTTATATATGACTAGATAATGCGCTAATAAAAAACAATAATATTACTGCTCTATAAAATTGTGTAAATAAAATAAATGTAATTTAAATTCTATATGTATTTTTTTATAAAAATAAATTTAAAAAAAAAACAATTATTAATATGAAGACATTTTTATAATAAATTGTATTTTGGTATTTTCTTCTATAAAATTTGAATTAATCTCATAATAATACACAATTAAATGCAATTGAGAAAACAGGTTTTTTTAATATATATATATATATATATATAGGAAGGAAGTGCTTCTATATACGGCAATTTGTTTATAGGACCAATATTTTTGTTAACTATTTGGTTAGGATTTTTTGTAAGGTTATGTATTATTTTTTTCCTTTAATGTGAATATCTGTAGTGAGTTATGGAAAACAATTTGTTTTTATGCGATTTTTTTTTATCTTGAATATATGTATGTCGGTATATGAGGATTATTTGGAGTCTTATGTGTAAATATATATGTATGTATAACTGTAATTAAAATGATTGATTTATACTTATTGACAAATATCCCTAAATGCAATTTGTGAATATTAGTTATGGCGGCTGATAAATATTGAAAAGAAAATAATAATTAAAAAAACACTTTTTATGTGGCTGGTTGAAATAATATGGCATCATTCTTACAATAACTGGCCAAAAACAAATTTATATAAAAATTTTTCATTCTCTTTTTCATCTGAAAATACCAAAAGTATAACTCTAATTTTCAAGGAGTTTTGAGCTTCCGAACAATACTAAACTAACATTGTTTTTTTTTATTTAAACTTCAACCATAATTTATGCGTATGAGAGTATCATATACGTTTTAACAAAACATTTGAAAATATAAACTAAACTTAATTTATAACAATAATCATTGTATGATTACTACTACAATTTTAGTTTAAAATTATATTACACATCATTTTCATTTTTTTTTTAATTTTTTTTAGTAATTCATACAAAAAATGAATAATGTTCTTAAATATAACAGGAGTTTTTTTTTGTTGTTATATACTATAATCTAAATATAGATCAATTTTCATAATTTTCTAAAATTTTTAATAAAAAACTTTTAAATAAAGGAATAATAAATTAAGAAATAGTCAAAAATATACTTTGGTATTATTAAGATTTCGAAATTAAACATTTTCAAAATAATATCAATTTTCTTTTTATCTTAAACAGACAACAGATTTTAAACAATAGTTTTATAACAATGTCATGACAAAACTTAAATACATACTCTAGTTATTTTTCCAATTAATTGCTTAGATTTTCCATCCACTTGTTTTTTGTTTGTTTTTTTTATAAATTTAAGCCTTAAATATCTGTGGAAATTCATTGGCTATTTCACGGACCAATTTCTGATCGGAGGCACTGCATTCGGTTTCCTCACAAAATATTCGTGTAAAGATTTTCATAAAATCTTGTTTACGATGCTGATGTTCCTGGTAGTCGGTGTTGCGTAGAATTCTTCGACACAATTCCAAATAACAACGTCTCATCTAATATTGGAAAAAATAAAATAAATTGTTAATATTAATTCACAGTAAGAGAAAAATTAAATATCATTTTTCAAAGAGATTTCAGTTTTCAAAAAAAAAAAAAAATATATATATATATATATATATATATTTCAAAGACTAGCAAAATTCTCAATTTTTAACAAAATTATCAGCATTGGACATAAGGTAAATTTGTTATGAATATTTTTAAATATTATCAGAAGTGTTAATTTTTTAGGAATATTTTCCAATTAAACTTTATAAGGCAAGGACAATACTCTGATTACATCGTGTAATAATAGAAGCAAGAGAACAAGTAAGAAGTAGCAAAGCATCTGGGGAAGATGGCTACCGGAGCAAGCTCTAAAAGCAGACGACAGAATCAGCTGAGTTACTACGATCTCACATCGTATCAGCGGAGGATACGATTGGCCGAATAATAATAAAGAATAATCCTGTTCAACACATATAGGGCAAGTTGAAATCATAAGATGAACAACCTCGAACTGAACAACCTGACTTCGGACCAAATAAATGATGTGTGGACCAGGTCACAATCAAGCAGGTTCAATGTGAAAATTTCCATTGCAAAAATATATTTTTGTATGAAAACAATTTATATCATGGGACCGGGCACGCTGGGCTCCCCACCAGTGTTGCCGTTCGAAAAATTTTTTTCCGCCCAAAATTCCCCTAAAAAGTGACCAAAATCAACAGTTTATGCCCAAAAGTCAAGATTTGAAAAAAGTATACCCTGCCTGTATATATTAAAAGTGCAGAAGATGTTGGAAAAGTAAAAAAAAATATTTTAAAAAAGTTTTCACAGTGTCAAAATTTTAAGTATTTTTAAGCCCAAAATTAGGCGAATGGAATGTCAGATTTGAACAAGGCAAATTTAGGACAATTATCGGCTATATATAATAATAATAACAATTTAAAAGAGGGCAGACGGGCGGACAAACGTGTCTAAGTGAACTTGGTCAGTCGAGATATGTCGATATACTATAAGGGGCAATCTTACGCATTTTTTAAATTAAATGGATATAGATTGTCACACACAATGTCCATTACACAACCAAAATGGCGCTTGAATGGAAAACCACAGGATTGCGAAAACGAAATCGACCAAGAAATATCTGGTACCAACAATATCCCAAGAACTAAGACAAAATATGGATTCCCATGAGGAGTAACAGGAAAAAATTTACCACTTTCGGAGGGAAGGATTTTTTTAATAATATTCTTCAAGGATTATCAAAGGCGTGAATTTATTAAGAATAATTTTCAAGTATTATCAGAGGTTGGCATTTTTTGACCGTGGATTTTTATACCCTTCACCACACCGTGGTACAGGGTGTTATGTCTTCGTGCATATGCTTGTAACGGGCAAAAGGAATCGTGATAGGCCCATGGTCTGTTCATGTTAAACAAAGTACAGGTCGCATTTATGATTCGATTTGGATGAAATAAGGCACATATTTGACCAAAGGAAGAACCCTATTGAAATTTAAGAAAATCGGATCAGATTTAGATATAACTCCCGTATATAGTTTCGTCCGATTTTATGAAAATGGTGCATCAAAGTCCCTATATATGATTCGATTTGCACGAAATTTTGCATAACGTACTGAATCAAGTCTAGAATGATGTGTGACATGTTTCCTCAAAATCGGTTCAGATTTAGATATAGCTCCCAGATATATTTTCGACCGATTTTATGTAAATGATGCACCAAAGTCCATTTATATCCTTCGATTTGCACGAAATTTGGCATAGTGTACTGAAATTACTCTAGAATGATGTGTGCTAAGTTCCGTGAAAATCGGTTCAGATTTAGATAAAGCTCCCATATAACTTATAGTCCGATTTTATGTAAATAGTGAATCAAAGGCCCATAATATTCTTCGATTTGCACGAAATTTGGCATAACGAACATAATTAAGTCTAGAACAATGTGTGTTAAATTTCTCGAAAGTCGGTTCAGATTTAGATATAACTCCGATATATATTATGTATAATTGTAGCATATTTTTAGGTTGTTATTAGCCCTTGATTCGGTTATACTTTTATAGATTATTTTTCAATTACTATCCCTACCAAAATGTGGACTGCAGATTTCAGATTTAGTTTGAGATCTACCATAGTGTTTGATGAGATTTAAGGCACCTGTCACGATTTTCACTTATTGAAACAACATAAATTCCACTTACCGGATTTCCAGCACATAAATCTGTCAGCTGTCTAACAATAATATCAATTAATACTTTAGTATCGTTGGTATAGAACATTGCTGCCGTCTCCGCAACACTGAAGATATCAATGAACATTTTCAATACTGAATTCATGCAATCCGTTGAATGTTTTAGCAGTTTAATAGGATCCTCTGTAATTAATATAAATAGTATTATTATCAGCATTATTATTCATAACAATTGTGCGTGCGTGTGTTTGTTACATACCTTCACGATTCAATAGCAATAGTATCTTCTCGGTAAACACTTTCGCTGAGGGTAATGTTTGCATTGCTTCGACCACAACATTATGATTGCTATCATTAAATTGCAAATTAAAAGCTAAAACCAATGATATAACCATATCAACGAGTATTTCAGGATTATTGCCTTCGATAATTTCCAGCAGGAATGAGGCAAAATGAACGCCAAGATAATCTGCAAAATAATATAATTTTAATTATTTTATTATTTTTGTAATTAATTAAATAAAAACCAGTGTGCGGAGCATTATAGTAGGACGGGGCCGACCATATGATACCCTACACAACTTCCACGAAAATCTAACTTCTGTGGTTCTATAGAGTAACTTCCGGTAATGTGGACCACCATTTTCTTTTTTTGATATTGTGGGCGTACCAACGGTAAAAACTGAAAACAAACTGTTTTCACAACATAGTAGATTTGTTGGCTAAATATATTCCACGTCAAAAATTATATATATTTGTCTATAAAAATTTTATTGCATTATATTTCAAAAAACTCTAAGCTGCAAATAAAAATAACTTGGCGTGTAATGTGGACCAGTATGTGTGGGTAATGAGTATCAGTAAATTAAAGGTAGGTTGTGGTTTGGTTGTGATAAAATTCAATTTATTACACTCTTTGGTAACAATGAATGCAAAAATATATGGGTTCATGTTTTGGAATAGCCCCCATTTAGGGGTAACACCCCATTTGCGGTGATTTGAAGGTCCTTGCTTCATTATCCAACCGAAGCACCTGTAATTTCGCATATGGAGTTTTCAGAGGATAGAATACCTCATCGCATATTAAATTCACGCACGTTTCAAACTCGTCCTCATGAAAAGGTCCCACTTTTTTATAGTGGTCCACATTACCCGACATTGAATATATTTTACTCAGAAATAATTATCGGCTTCAAAAATGAATAAAAATTAAAAATCGCCGATTGTAATTACAGCTAAACGTATATTTTTGATATAGAAAACAAGAAAAACCACATAACTTCTTTATATTCGAGAAAAACAAAGTGTTGGACTATTTTGCAAAAACGTTCGACTATTGTGCTAAAAAATGTTCAAATCACACTTTTACAATCAGAGCTACATTTCTACTACTACATTTTCAACATTGCAATTATTTATTAAAAACCAATTTTGATGTTTGTTTTCACTAATAAGGAAAATATTTATCAAGGCCGCATTGACATATTTCAAGCATTTTCTTAGATATGGGGGGTGGTCCACATTTGACGCATGGTCCACATTACCCGAAGTTACTCTATTCTGAGCATGGAAAATATTTCCCGATATTTGCAACCTCTTGACCAACTATAGGTCAACAAATATTACTATTATTCATATTCTATTTACTTGTCCATATTCCCTTCGCCGGGGTTGTGTTGTGATGTTCGGCTTTCAATTGTGGCCTATAGGCCGACTCGAAAAAACACAAAAAAATAAATGTTCGCTTCACTTCATCCCAATATTATTATCTGAACATCGCCGAAAATTATAGTCGTTGTCCTTTACCATACCTGGATCCTCATGGAAAATTTCAAAGCGATTAGCGGTATATTTTCGACCTCTAGTGTGGTAATGGGTTACTAAATAATATCTCAGTACGTAAGCACCCGTAAATATTTACGTGTAACTCCCACATCCGAGTGCATACGACAATATAATTGGTATCAATTTAAAGGCCAACCACTCCTCTTGATTATACTGTCAACTTCTAGGATATATGTCCTTCAGGAGTAAATATATACGCTATAGAAAACAAATTTTGTCATTTTTCACACAAAAGTTAGGGTCCATTTGACCCGCTTAATATTGACCATTCTTTATCAAAACAGGTATGTTTATTCCTTGGCCCGATTCCCTTCTCCATGTAAAAATTCGCGATGTTTGAGCCATAATTGCGGCCTCTGGAGCTAATATCTAATTCTGAACTGATTTGGACAAAATTTAACACATGTAATTTTAGACCCCATACAATACGTCGTAGTGAGTACGGTTGGCCAAATTTCATCTGAATCGGCTATGGGAGCTCAGTGCACCATTTACATATGTATCGGAACTATGTGTAGATCTGAGCCGATTTTTACGAAACTTAACAAACTTCTTTATATACTCAATACGGTATGGTAATTCAAGATTCGTTTAAGTCGGACGAACATTGTGCATTTAGTGCACCATTTACACAAAATCGGACGAACATATGTATGGGAGCTATATCTAAATCTGAACCGATTTCAACAAAATTTAACACACAACTATATAGACTCGATACAGTACGGTAGTCGAAATTTTGTCTTAATCGGACAAATACTGGGAGTTTAGTGCACCATTTACAAAAAATCGGACGAACATATATATGGGAGCTATATCAAAATCTGATCTGATTTCAACGAAACTTGACACACATCATTCTAGACTCATTTTAATGTGATGTGCACAATTTCGTTTAAATCGGAAAAATATATAGGGGCTTTGGTGCACCATTTACGTAGAATCGGAAGACAGTATATATATGGGAGCTATATCTAAATCTGATCCGATTTCAACAAAACTTAGCACACACCATTCTAGACTCAATTTAATAAGCCATACACAATTTCGTGCAAATCGAAAGTAATATGGGGGCTTTGGGGCAAAATTTACGTAAAATCGGAAGACAACATATATTGAAGCTATACTCAAACCTGAACCGATTTTCATGAAACTTTGCACACATTGTTCTAGAATCAATGTAATAAGCTATGCACAATTTCATGTAAATCAAATGAAATATAGGAACATTGGTGCACCATTTATATAAAATCAGACTAAAATATATACGGGAGGTACCGATTGTTACAAAGCTACACATACCTCAATTTGTACTTAATTCAGTATGCAGAGCAGATCAATAACTTGGGTGAGCTATTTTGGAATCGGAACTATATCTAAATCTGAACCGATTTTAAACAATTTTTGGCTTTGGCTGCTTTGGTCAAATAAGAGGGCTGCGTTAAATTTCATTCATTAGGAACAAAAATGCGACATTTACTTTGTTTACAATTTAACATGGACATACAGACAGACGACATAAATCGACTCAGAAAGTGATTCTATGCATATTCTCAAAAGGAACCGTGGGCCAATTTCAGATGACATGCATAAATCGACTCAGAAAGTGATTCTATGAATATTCTCAAAATGAACCTTGGGTCAATTTCTTTTCCTTTTGCCTGTTACAAACATATGCACACAGACATAGTACCCTGTACCACAGTGTGGTATTTTCCGGAATGCTTAGAAAATATGTATCTCCTCCTCATTTTTGATACAGGCCCTCCGTTGACTTCCAACATATAGGGACTTTATATATATCCACTCACTACACTTACCCTGATGATTAACTGGCATCGGTTGGCCCAATGAAAATATAATTGTTAACATTTTGACTAGCTGCTTAAAACGATCTAAATTCGCAAAATTCGTTTTCATATCTTCAACAATTTCCAAAGGCAATACCGAAGTCAATAGGATATCGACAATAATGTGATCCAAGTGGCAGGCGGCCGTAAAAGTTTTCAGCAAGAGACGTTTTATGTTCCAACGTGTTTCCATTTGATAGTATTGTACTAGATTGACCAAAGCCTGATATTGGTCACAGGACATTTCATAACAGCAAATGGTTTCATCAGCATTGCTCTGGGAAAAATAAACACAATTACAATTTAATAGAGTTTCATGTATGTATTTCACTACTTACCAATATATCAATAAGATCCTCCAAGAATTGCACAATATCATCTTCATCCTCATACAACATCCATGTTCGCTGTTCCGAATCATTTTTACAATCAGCCAGCTGTGAAAATATATATTGCAATTTCTTGGCATCGTGGGTCATACCGAGTAGCTCCTTGGGCGTTTCTACCTTTTCGGTAACATGTATGGCCACCGCTTCCAGATAGGGATTAATAGCACCATTATACAATTGCTCTAAACTGGTTAGAACAACACGCAACGCTTCGCAGGATAAATCAAAACTTAAATTTGTATTGCGACGTATAACATCGACAATTTGATAGACATCTGACGATTCGACTTTTAAATTTGGTCTTGGATAACCTCCGGTATGAGCCAAGGCAGCTGCTGCAGCGGCTGCATGTAACTGTTGTAATGCAGCAGCACTATCTTCACTATCCAGCGCCTGACTGTTGTCATTACTGTCACCCTTAACGGCCTGGCCATTGGCCGCATTTCGTTCATCACTGCCATCAGCAGCAGCGTCACTACCCTCGGAACGGTCATTACCAGTTGTTGTTGTCTTGTCATCCTTATCAGCAATACCATTTTGTGTCTTAGCATGATTTCGGCTGTCAGCCTCATTTATTTTGTTCACCTTTTCTTTGGACTTTCGTTCTTTGTTGGACGTCGTTGTCGTCGTCGTTGACGCCAATGACGACTCCTTGTCCGATTTAAGTGTTCCATTTTCTTTCGAATGTGTATACGATGCCGAGGAATCATTTAGACTTGGTTCTTTATAGGTGGTGATGACATCCTCACTTGTTGTTGTAGTTGTTGTCGTAGTCTCAGAATGCTCGGAGGTAACACTATTATCTTGAGCTACATCATTGACTTTATTTTGTGCAGGTGATGGTGATTGAGCCTGTTGTTGTTGCTGTTGACTTTGTTGGGTCTGCACTTGCATTGAACCCATACTGGGCGACTCCGATATCATTAGAGGCAATGTGGTGGCCATGGAAGGACTTGATATTGATTTTTTACTACTATCCAAACGTTTAGAATGTGGTGGACTGTGAGGTCGATGTTCCTGTGCATGTGGTGCACTATGTTTGCCATCTCCAATACTCTGTGAAAATGATAATGATGAATCGGCATCACGCTCGGAATTGTCCTGAAAATACAAAGGGGAATATGAGATGAGAAAGATAGACATTTTTGCATATCATTAAAGCCTTGGGTTTCCAGCTTAAGACTAAGGGTAATTATATAGTATTCTATGTACATAAAAAGGGTGGCGTAGGGGATGATAGATACTTTACTACTTGGCTTTAACACGGCGAAGCCTAGCCTTATCTTGGTCCCTCTATCATCTCAATTGTGGACACTGACCTCTCCGCGGTGTCACCTGGGGTAGCTATTTTCATCACCCGTTGAAATAGAGAGCTGATTGAGGCGTCGGATTAGTTGCCCACACTATGAAAAAGCAAAATAATAAAACCAAACCCCCTTATTGTTGACGACCCCTACAAAAGTAATAAGGGCCACAATCTGCACTTGGAATGTGCGCACGTTGTACAGAACAGGCGCAGTCTTCGCTTTGACGGATGTGTATTGCTTTATAGGAAATGCGATGCAAAGAGACAGGCGTAAGTAAATCAGATGATTACGCCCTGTATTATAGCTGCCACTAAACGAGACATGAATTTGGCTGCGGATATATGGTTAACAGGAGAATAAAATAAATCGTCTCCAGATTCACTCCAGTAGATGAGCGAAGATCTTCTACATCAGTCTTATTTGCGCCCATGCCACGCCCTACGGAAGAGAAAGACATATTTTACGACAGCCTAGAAACTGCATATGACCGCTGCCCTGGCCATGACTTTAAAATTATGCTAGGAGTTTCTAATGCAAAAATCGGAAGGGAAAATATTTTTTCCCTTCCGATTACATCCGAAAACGGCATGAGGTTGATTGACTTGATTGACCACCTGGATTTCTCCTGATCAATCAACGAGAAATCAAATTGACCATGCTGTGATAGACGGAAGCCATTCGTCCAGTGTTTTAGACATTCGATCGATACAAGGAGCGAATATCGATAAGGACCATTACATTGGTCTTAATGTAGCAGAAGAAGTGCGATCTAATATAACACGGAAACTCGACGCTGGAAAGCTGCAAACACAGCATGTAGCAGAGGCCTACTCCGCTCAACTAACCCAACTGCTTGACGAAGGCACTTCTTGTCCCGATAATAGTATCGAAGCACAATGGAAAAGAATTGCCCACACCCTACAAACTCCAGCAAAAGCAAAACCACCATGAAACCCGTGGTACGACCAGGAGGGTCGTAATGCTAATGATGTGAAAAACGCAGCGTATAGGCAACTCTGCAGACAGTAGCAAAACGTTATCGGGAGAAAAAGGAGGCAGGAGAAACGTATTTTCAGAAAAATGAAGAAAGAACAAGAAAAACGTGAGCGTGAGCAAATTGAGATGTACAGGAGGCAGAATGAAGTCTGGAAATTTTACCAACGAGTAAAACACCAAACCGAAGGCTTTGGCGCAGGCACACCCTCTTGTAGAGATGAAAATGGAAACCTGTAGGCCTATTCTGTAACTTTTTAACAACATTCGATATTGTTTAGTTTACAACAATGTCATTTGTTTGTTTTGTTGTTTTTACAATAACAAAAGAAATTTAAACAATATCGATAGTTGTTAAAAGTTACAGAATAGGCCTACTGGAAGGAGATTTTAAGAAGCTTCTGGTATCAAATAGTGGCCGTGATTAAGATATGACGGTATAGAGTGAATACCACCTAGCCAAGATGAGGTCAGAATAGCTATTACTCCGCTGAAGAACATTAAAACTGCAGGAGAGGATGTGTTACCAGCCGAACTATTCAAGACCGGGGGTAGGGATGCTGATAAGGAGCATGCGCGAACTGATTAGTACAATTTGGCTAGAGGAAGTAATGACCAATGATTGGTCATTAATTCGCGCGCATAAAAAAGGAGACACAACTATAGAGGAATAAGTCACCTTCCAATCGCATATAAAGTGCTATCCAAATTAAAGTCGGAAAAGACATATCTCCATCAATACCGAACGAGGATTCAGACAAGGTGACAGTTTATCATGTGATCTTTTTAACATCCTGCTGAAAAATGTCATACGAAACGCAAAAGTGAACAGAAATGCCACTCTGTACACCAAACAACACATGTTACTCGCCTACGCCTATGACATCGATATAATGGGTCGAACATTGCCAGCGATAACAGCCACCTTTGAACAAATTGAGAAGGAGTTTGGCAAAGTGAGTCAGGCAGTAAATGACGAGTAGACCAAGCTGATGGTATGAACTCGCAAGCCGTCCAGTAGACTCGGACCAACTGTGGAACTTGAGAACTACAGCTTCGAGGTAGTTAAAGATGTTATATACCTTGGTACCGCCATAAAAAAAACGAATGACATCAGTTTTGAAATTGGGAGAAGGATTGTGATGGCCAAAATATGATACTATGGTCAAAGTAAGCAGTTTAGAAACAAGGCCACCCCCCGCCAGACCAACAACACACTCTACAAGATGCTAATAGTACCCGTGCTGTTATATGGTCCTGGGAACTTGCGCAAGCAGATGAGACAGCTCTTTGGATGTTTGAAAGAAAAATTATCCAAAAGACCTACGGGCCAATCTGCGTCGACGGTGAATATCGGCGTCGAATGAAGCACGAGCTTTAGAATTTATACGCGGATATCGACATAGTCAGTCGTATTGAGCCGCAGCTACTACGGTGGCTAGGCCATATTATGCGAATGAATGAGAATGCCCTGCTCAAAAGGCGAGCCTACTGATGGTTCCCGTAGAAGGGGAAGGCCACGAATTAGATGGAAAGACCAAGTAGAAAACAACATCTTGGAACGTGGTCTTCCAAATTCGTAGAGATGCGCACAAGACCGACGCGCTTGGAAATCTTTTTTAAGCTCGGCTTATGGAACAACCATTCTGTAACAAGCCAGCTAAGTAAAGTAAGTACTCATATAAGGACCCGCACGATTCCACGTATATTGAAGTCGTTTTAACTTAAGACGTCTTAACTTTTTCTACTACACAGATATAGAGGGTTCTTGCAAGCATTTAGGATTATTACTATAAAACTTCAGAGATTGTGTATCGATAGCAAGCAATTAAAATAACTGTTATCTACAGAGGACCTTTTAAACGTCTTCCAACCACAGAAGTCCTCCTAAAATACCCTGTAGATAACTTTTGAATTCATTTAGAATGTTTACCCATCATTGAACTTTAAGGATTACAAACTTTTAGAAACCATTTATTTAATTAGAGATCTATTATACTCACCAAATACATTCTCTCCATCGAGATTTTCTTTTCTCTCAGCCTCTCTAGGAGTTCTTCTTTGGGCATAATTCCATTTATTTCAGTTTCTTTGGATAGTTCCAGTGATTCAATGGATGAATTTAGGAAACTGATTAGGAAATCTGGTTCAACCTGGAAAATTAAAAGAATAATTATATTAATAAATGAATATTTTTAAATAATGTAAACAAATTAAACACAAAATCCATAAAAAAGATAATATGTTTGCATAAATCTTAACAATTTCCCATCCAAGATCCTTTCCAACATATAGTATAAACAACTTGTTTTCGAAATGCCTATGCCTGAATGTGTGTAGCAATGCCCTTGTCGTCTCCTTGCCTTCATAAAAAGAAAGGGGAAAATAAAATGTTAATATCCTTGTTATTCTCTTTTTGCGGACGATGACAGCTAATTGAATTTGTTTGCTTTATTCGTTTTTCCTGTTTTTAATTACTCATAATTTACATGTAAAGTTTCATACGTAACTACATTTACCTGCAAAACACACCAACAACATACTCGTACATACATACACACAAGGACATAGTTGACTATATAATACACAAGTTGTTGGTGGTTTTGGTGTTTGCTTTTTAAATTTAAGGCATAACAAATTAGGCTTTAATAAATTATTCATTGGGTTATTAAAAAAAATATGTTAAGAAATTGAGTTAGAAATTAAAATCGTTATAGTACTGAATCTGAATAATATCTGGATTTTGAAAGTAATAAATTCGGACGGGGCCGACTATATGATACCCTTCACCACTTTTTAAAGTACCAGTAATATGAAATTGGATCCATAAACATGATATTCTGCAACAAATACTAAATTTTTCACTACACTATTTACCTTAAATCGTACAAAAATGTATATGGGAGCTATGTCTAAATCTGAACCGATTTTCACGAAACTAAACACATCATTCTAGACCTAATTCATTACGCTGTTCCAAATTTCGTACAAATCGAAAGATATTAAGGACTTTGGTGCACCATTTACATTAAATGGAACGAAAATATATATGGGAGCTATATCTAAATCTGAACCGATTTTTCCCAATTTCAATAGGGTTTGTCCTTGGGCCAAATAAGTGACCTATGCAAAATGTCATCGAAATCGGATCATAAATGTGTACAGGCGTTCACAAAAATACATGGACGGACAGACGGATATGCGTAAATCGACTCAGAAAGTGATTCTAAGCATATTCTCAAAAGGAACCATGTATCTATCTCGTTTCCTTTTGCCTGTTACAAACATATGCACAAAGACATAATACCCTGTACCACAGTGTGGTGAAGGGTATAAAAAATATGGGTTTAAATAACCCACGTTCTTACATCCAATGTAATGAATAATGATCGGGATCATAATATAGGACCATAAAATGCACCGATACAGAAAATGTTTCTAAGCGAAAGTATTTTATTTCGACAACATTTTATTCTTTTAAAAAATCTACGCCTGTGATAGTCCTGCGATAGTCCTTTAAAAATATTCTTTTTTAAAAATCTACGCCTGTCCTTTAAAAATATTCTTTTTTAAAAATCTACGCCTGTCCTTTAAAAATATTCTTTTTTAAAAATCTACGCCTGTCCTTTAAAAATATTCTTTTTTAAAAATCTACGCCTGTCCTTTAAAAATATTCTTTTTTAAAAATCTACGCCTGTCCTTTAAAAATATTCTTTTTTAAAAATCTACGCCTGTCCTTTAAAAATATTCTTTTTTAAAAATCTACGCCTGTCCTTTAAAAATATACTTTTTTAAAAATCTACGCCTGTCCTTTAAAAATATTCTTTTTTAAAAATCTACGCCTGTCCTTTAATAATATTCTTTTTTAAAAATCTACGCCTGTCCTTTAAAAATATTCTTTTTTTAAAAACCTACGCCTGTCCTTTAATAATATTCTTTTTTAAAAATCTACGCCAGTCCTTTAAAAATATTCTTTTTTTTAAATCTACGCCTGTCCTTTAAAAATATTCTTTTTTTAAAATCTACGCCTGTGATAGTCCTTTAAAAATATTTTTTTTTAAATATACGCCTGTGATATTCCTTTAAAAATATTCTTTTTTAAAAATCTACGCCTGTGATAGTCCTTTAAAAATATTTTTTTTTATATCTACGCCTGTGATAGTCCTTTAAAAATATTCTTTTTTAAAAATCTACGCCTGTGATAGTCCTTCAAAAATATTCTCGTAAAAAATCTACGCCTGTAATAGTTCTTTACAAATATTCGTAAAAAATATACACATTACATTAGTCCTTGGAAAATATTTCTTAAACAATCGACACCTCTACTGGCCTTTGAAAAACTATTATTTTAAAAAAAATCTATGTCTCTACTGGTCCTTAAAAATAGTCTTTTAAAAAGTCTACGACTTATTAGTCCTTTCAAAAAATATTTAAAAAAATCGAAAATATTTTTAAAAAATCTTATCTACAAGTCCTTTCTTGAGTCCTTAGAAACTATTTTCATGTATAACTCACGCTTCTGAATAGTCCTTCAAAAAATTATCACTTATCCGCTCTTCTGGAACTAAAAGCGTCATTCATATGGTAATATATGGGTCTCTATTTTCCTATTTTCCCTGCACTTTTTTTATTGTGTTAAAGGTATACAAGTTAATTTGTTGTCCTTGTTTGACTGCATTTACACAACAAAAATGCCACATTGTCTGGTGAGTGAGTCGTCATTAAAAGTTAAAAACCGGAAGCTATTCTTCGTCAGTATGAAAAACAATGCCTAGAATAATAGACATATTGTGGCACATGTGACAGCAGCAATATCAGCACTTGCAACTAAACGGTAACCTTGAGGCACACATACATGCCAGGCAGCAATGAAAACAACGATAATCGGAAACAAGAGTAATTTACACACAATTATCTGGATGTGGAAATTAATAAAGCCCCTGGCCTTAAAAATAAGAAAAAAACAAAAACAATTGTTAACAGACAAAGTTTGTAAACATTAGAAGAAGGATAAGAGATTCTGCATACCTAGATTATTAATATGAAATTTTAATACACATACACACACGCAACAACGACGCAAGGATAATCACAACAATGGCAAGAGCATACACATGTTTAAAAGAAATAAAATCTTCAGTGTTGTTGTTGCTGTTTTTATCATAGTCTTCTGAATTGTTCTAACAAGCCAAAGACAACATTTGTCTAGCATGCAGCATGCCACAGAAAGCTGAAATGCTGGCAGACCAAATCTCAATCTCAAACCATGCAACCAACTATTCCCAACCAAGAAACAAGCAAGGAGATAAACATAGGTATGCCCGACTGCTTGCCTGTCTATCTATCTGTTGTGTGTGTGTGTTTGGTGCATGTATGTCTTTTCCTTCCTTAGCCAGTGGCAATAAAACAGTCAAGGACATTGTGGCAAAAACATACAACGCATACATGTCAACAAACCTCCTTATACAGACCATTATCCTTATAACACACACTACATACATACTTATGTATGTAAATTTATATGAATGCAACGGCATTTGTACGACATGTGTATGTGTATCTCGCTTCCTGGCTTTGTACATGTGTATGTATGTGTATTAGTAATTAAATTGTATTTCCTTAAATAAAGATTAATTCACTTTCAACCAAAGCATAACAGGGAGACAGAGAGCACTCAAGCCACTCTCCGAATGGTTGAATGTAAGGTGCAACTGACTGACAAGCAGGCAGGCAAGACAGGTCATGTCATGTCATATAGAAATGATTGAGTTTGAAATATAGAGCCATCATATACCAACCAGCATATGGACTGGGTTTGATACACTCTTGGCCAAAAGCCGCAGATTCTTCAACAGTGGTTTGAAAAGCTTTACGTTAAAAAAAAAAACATGTAAAAACATAGAAAAGTTCGTCCGAGCCGAATTTCTTATAAGTTCCAGTATCTGTTAGGCAATTAGGTTTCCTTAAATCTGACGGGACCTTTATATGGAGGCACCACACTGTGGTACAGGGTATTATGTCTTTGAAACAGGCAAACATAATCGAGATAGACCCATGGTTCCTTTTGAGAATATGCATAGAATCACTTTCTGAGTCGATTTATGCATGTCCGTCTGTCCGTCCGCCCGTCTATGTATTTTTGTTAACAAAGTACAGGTCGCATTTATGATCCGATCTAGATGAAATTTGGCACAGGTCACTTAATTGGCCGAGGACGAACCCTATTGAAAATCTGCCCACGTTTAGGCATAGCTCCCATATAAGGGTACCCCCCAATTTTCAGCATTTTGGGGTTCTTTAGCGCGTTTTTTTAACTGAATTCGCTGAAATTTGGTACTTTGAGTTCTTATTGGGTAGCAAATCTCTCCACTAAATATTATAAATATGGGTCCATATTTTCGGATAGCTCCCAAATAAGGGTACCTCAAATTTTGCGGTATTTTGGTGGTTTTGATCGCATTTTTCGACCGAATTCACTGAAATTTGGTACTTTGAGTTCCATTTTTCCATTTTTGAGGTCCATTTTTTTCGGGTAGCCCCCAGGTACCCCCAGTTTGCGGTATTTTGGGGTTCATGGGCTCGTTTTATAACTGAATTCTCTGATATTTTGTACATTGGGTTCTTATTGTGTACCAAATTACTCCACTAAAAATTATAAATATAGGTCCAGTTTTTCTGGTAATCCCCATATAACGGTACTCCCAATTTGTTGGTATTTTGGGGGTTCTGATCGTATTTTTCGACCGAATAGACTGTAATTTTGTACGTCGAGTTTTTATTAGATAGCAAATCTTTCCACTATAAATAATAAATATAGGTCAATTTTTTCGGGTAACCCCCATATAAGGGTACCCCCCAATTTTCGGTATTTTGGGGTTCTTGAACGCGTTTTTCAACCAAATTCTTTGTAATTTGGTTTTTTGTAGTCGTATATGGTAACAAACCTCCCTCCCAAAAATTATTAATATTCGCCCTTTTGGGGTTAGTCCCCTTATACCCTTCTTTTTATACCCATCACCACACTGTGGTACAGTGTATTGTGTCGTTGTGCATATGTTTGTAACAGGCAAAAATAATCGAGATAGACCCATGGTTCCTTTTGTGACTATGCATAGAATCACTTTCTGAGTCGATTTATGCATGTCCGTCCGTC